TGTTAATCAGCTAAGCTTCATCAATACCAGTTAGCCTGTGCCTGATTACATTAACTCCCAATAGGGCTGACCACAGGCAATGGGGGAAAGCAAAGTTTGATGAACAGAAATTACAAATACAGAGGTGTTTGGATGAATCTGAAGGTCTGAGTTTAAATATCATTCTCTGAATTTTGACCAGCTTTTGTTTCCCCAGTCCTAAGTGAACACTGCAGCTGTCAGTAATGTGAGCCTCAAAGAAAATCAGGACCCATCTACCCTTGAGACACATCACATGCACAAACTGAACAATCAACAAATAAAAACCCCTGAATTTTGCACATCATAAAAAAAAATGACTGCAATGGGCAGCAATGTCTACTTTGACATAGGGTTTGAGATGCTTCTTGCAGTAATCCCCACCCCTGATGTTCGACACTGCTGGAGACCTTCTAAAAACTTTTCTCCCTGTTGTACCTGTCAGCCTAATGGCAGCTTAATTATTTTTGGTCTCTAATCTGAGTTGAACCTGATGCACACAAATAACATTATAAAGAAAAAAAGAAAGCAAAAAGTTTACCAAATGTTTAAAATCTGTCTGTTTGAGAAAATGCTGAGGCTCAGCAGAGCACCTGAGATGGTGGCAGGTTAGCAGTCAGGGCTGACAGCCACGTTCCCACGCCCTCGGCTGTCCTTGGGTGTCTGCTGTAACTCAGAGCTCCCACCACAGACACTAATCTCTCTGTGCTTAGTTCACTCATCTGTCAAATGGGCGTAATTTTTTTCCAGCTCATAGTACCACTGTGAAGCTTCATAAAATTCAAGCTGCATCAAAGGACAAAAAGACAGATACAAATGCTCACACTTGAGGGCAATATTTTCGTACAGCCCCAGCTCGGTTAAACTTTTGGGACACAATGTGAGCTTGTTTGAGTAAAAACTGAACAGGGGAAATGAAGCAGGTGGAGGTACGCCCTCTTAACTTACATATCCTCTTAAAAGGCTGTGAAAAAGCTTTGGATGAGTGGGTCAACAAAAGGTTTCGAATGACTCAGGCACAATGACCAAGAGGAAGAAGGAAACTCTATCTGACGCCTGTTGTGCCACTGTTGTGCAACATCATCTTCCAAGCTCACAGTCACGAAGTTGCAGCCAGGAAAACTATGGGAGGCAACCTTGCTCTTCTGACCACATTATCTCTCTCCATTAGATTCTGTAGATCATTACATGATTTTGGCTATTGCCTTACTGGAGGTTACCACTGTCAGCAAGGGTTAGTTTTCCAAAGAGACAGCCATCACATGACACCATGAAAATGAGTATTACAACCTTATGCTCTGGAGGCATGCACTGTATCAAGACTTCGAAAACAAATGTTGCATCAGAAAAGATAATAAGAAACATTGATCAACCTAACAACACATGAGACGCATGCAGCCGACATTAATCATCTGAATAAGTCACATCGAAGTCTGAAGTGCCTTTTTACAACAGTAACTTAGACCTCTTTCCACAAAAACATATCCTATCTTGATAGCAAGGAGCTGAAAAAAAAATCCCATTGGTGCCCACAGCTGTTTAATGTACCCAAGTTTGACCCAGACATTTAAATATTTTCATAACACAAGAGCAATAAAAAACCCCATGCATAATCTTTTAGTTGTGCAATCTGTGTGTACTTTGACCAAAGGTTTTCGTACTGCAAGCAGCAGGTGGCATGCTTAATAAATAAATATTAATCTTATGAAAATGTTCTCATGGTGTTTTACTGCTGTTTTAAAATTCAGATGGAAAACAATCTACCAATGGATAAACAGAGAATATTGAAAGCTCAGGTTGTTTAGATAAAACTGAAATGAGTAAAGAAATCACAGTACAACTCTAGGGTGAATCCAAAAATTCAGGACTGAGTCCTGGCCTATCATGGAAACAGGATAATAGAAACATAACTCTAGTCCCAAATTCCTGAACTGAATATGTAATTCTTCATTTCATAGGGAAAAAAATATCATCAGCGTTGCATTTGTCAAATATGCAAATAAGTGACTACATTCTTTCCAAGTAAACTATGTCTTGTGTTTCTGTTTGGGAAGACAAGGTAGACAGCACTGCTCTCTTGTAGCACTGCTCTCTTGCTCCAAGTCAGCTCATGCCAGAGGGGAGTGAAGAGATCCCTTTGGCTGGACCTAACAAAATCAGCAAGTTTTGTTAAGTGTTTTGGTAGTCTTCATTTTGAAAAGCAATGGCAAAACAGGAGATGGTTATCATTTGAAAAGTGGGTGGAGTGCCATGAGAGCAATGTCTATCCCTGGGATTTTTGTTTGTTACATAGGCAAGCAAGGGAGAAAAGCAGCGTATTCACTGTGGGCATGGACCAGCCCCTGTGAGCTCAGCACTTCTGTCTGGGAGAGTAAAGGAAACACCACATTTAGTTCACATTAATGTGAAAAAATTACAGAGCTGCCTATACCTCCTGTGCCATAGTGACATGATGAAAGCCACTGGGGTTCTCGGAGCTTTATATTTCTGTTATTCTTCACTTACATTCAGGAACTGATTTATTACTAAGGCTATCGAGGAGGAAGAGAGGAAAAGCTAAACATTTTGTGTGCTCTGCATCTGGCAAGACATAAAACACTCCAATTTCAAGCATGAGACAGGTCACTGACAGTGACAGACATGGCTGGCAACATCGCAGTTCAGCAGCAGTAACTCATCATCTGAGTTGAGTGTAATTGTCACCAGGTGTCAAGTCCCACTGTCTCTGTTTGGGAGGCTCCGGGCTCCCGAGAAAATTATCACATGAAATTCTCCTATACAATGTGGTTTTTGCATTTTCCGGGATGAACCGACACCAAAGCAAATCCCCTCTGCATTCCTTTTGACACTTAATATCTCTATCAAATCCTCCTGAGTCTCACAGAAAGCAGAGAATAAAGAAAACAAGTTTCTCCTCTCAGTGGCTGAAACTTGATCACTTTTATTTGAAAGGGCTGAGAAATGCAGTAACTTACATTGCATCAATTTCTTTTGAGGAAGATCTTGGAAGCTATTCATGTCCTGTACCCTACTCAGGAAGAAGAATGTGTCCCCTCCAACTAACTAGCAAGCAGAAAATGATCCTTGTCTCCAGTGTAATGAAGAAGATAAAGTAATGAATATAAAGTATCAAGAGCTTCAATTATTTACTTATCTGATCCATAATGGGTCCTGTGCTGATACACAGAAGAGGATTAACATAATGTAAGAACAAGCTGAAGTATGTTGATGAGTTTTTTTAACATCTCACAAGTGTCTGTATGAGACCACACTGATCACCTAAAAACAGTCAGATGGTCATCAAAGTATAAAATGAAATTACCTATATTTATCTCCTGCAGAATTATTAAAATGCTAACAATTAATATTGTGATTTCATGCACATTTCAACTTTTGAATACATTTCCAGTTTTAACTATCACTGCTGTATTAACAATCCTATGTGAGTTGGAAACTTATGTCTTGATCTTTTCCACTAATGTTTAGTGGAATGTTTCCCCAAATAACATTAGATGTTTATAGAGCATGTTAAAACAACGTCACCACTATATATTTAAAAAAATAATGAAATGTGAAGGGAAAGAATCCCTTACATCAACCTGCTGGCTGGATATATCTCTACTCATACAGCACAGTATGCAGTTGACTCCCTTGGCACACAGGCACCCTGCTGATTTTGATAGCTGGGGAGGTTTTTCTAAGAAAATTGTAGAAACTTCCTGTTAGTCCTGTCCCTTGAGGGGACATTCTCGAGAGATTTTTTAGCACCCACTTCCTAAATCTATTATAACAAGATGGTTATTCCCAGCCCCATGCGAGTTTGTTGGCAGGAACGGTTATTCTACAAACAGAAAACAACCAGGACCCCAATAATATGTGAACCATAAAAGCAATACAAGCCACCTCTGTAATCATTTTCTGATGTTCAGACATGTATTTGTTCTCTGGGAATTCTTTTCCTTTGTTCTACTTGGAACCATCTGTAGCAAAAAAGATTACCCTTTGTGCCTATCAACTACAATGCCCTGTTAAGCCACTGGGAGTTTCAGATGTGAATGAGTCCTAGGATCTAGCAAGAGTACCACTCTGCTTGTCTGCTCCAATCAAAACAGTGTGATTCATATCTAAATATTTCAAAAAATCAAAATTGATCAGTATGAGAATCACTTGACCCTGCAGACTTCAGAAGCATAACACCAGCTTCAAATTTGATGTAACTAGAAACAAAACGTAGGTTATATTAGACAGAAATTATTTTAGAATACTTGGATCAAATTCTCTGTGTCCACTTCAGCTAGGACTGTGATCATTTGTTTCCTTTTCTCTGCCAAGTACTTCCATATTACTACTCTTTTTTTGGCTGTGTTGCTGTTTCTGCCTTTGCAATATCCTGATCAGATCATGCTTTTCTTCAGAAGTAGTTTACATAGCATATATTAAATAATAATGATGAGAATATACAAAAATTAGGAAGCTAGATTTGAGTATCAAATTCTTATATGGAATCATGTTGCAGACAAACCATATTCAAGTGAACTATTATTAGTTAGGACCAATAACACATACACTAGTGTTGATTTCTGTCTCAAATAAAATTAATATCAATACATTGTATTTCTTGCACATAACTGATGTCCATAGTAAATACAAAAATGCACAGAAAGTAAAATGAACCTAATTTATGGATTTCTATAGACATTTTTGTAGACAGCAAATGTTTCAACAAGTATTTCTGAAAGCTCTAAGTTGTACAAATCAGAGTTGACTGTAAATTTTATTGCAGTGGAGGAAAATGAATGCTCCTAATTTTGTCTTACCTGTTCCAAGAAACAAGACGTGGTATCTTCCATCAGCAGCATTCACTCGATCCACAGCAATCTTTGTATACTTGTAGTCGGCTCCTATCCGGATGATTAACGGCCTCTTGTGTATTGGGTAAATGGGATTAAACATCAAAGGGTGATTCCTAATGAAGGTCACAACGTCGTCTGGAAACTCTTTTGTTGTCCGCATATTAGGTGTGAAGGCTCCTCCCGGGCACTGTAAGAAACATGCACAGTAATGATTAACAATACCAACTATCTTTCAGAGAGTATTCATCTCCAAGTCATTTGCAAATATTGACAGATAAGTTGACAAAGGAAGTTCCCAAAAGAGCACTGCAGACTGACCAAAACTTATGTTCCGATAATGGGAATGAAGTGTTGAATAGCTATGCTTTGAACTCCCATCAATGCTGATAAAACAAACACAAATGTATTTTTGCACTTTCAGGACACAGCTTGATGACTAAGGTCTTTAATTCTGAATGTATTTTCACATGCTTTATGCTTCCAAACTGCCTGTTGAAAAAAAAATTGAAAAAATCCAAGAGATCGGTATGGGAAGATATCAAACTTTTGCATCCAGTTTGTTACAGAATTAATACAAAGACAAAAGACAAAATCTGACACTCAGTTGTAATTTGGAGATGATGAAAGGGCCTGTGACTCATCTTCATTTGAAAAAGCAATAATATGGAGTTGATGAGGGGGTCCTGTAACAACTCATTTATCTCTCAGAAGATTGTTTATACTTTCCCCTCTGCCTGAGAGATAACTGAGGTCCATGAATACTCTGGATGCTTCTTTAAGTATAATGAAGAACCATCAAAATAATTAGCCCCAAGGCATTCTGGACTCTAAGGAAAATAAAAAGCATCTTAGAAAACTCAACTATTTATTGAGAGTGAAACTAAAAGAAGATTGGGAAGAAAACACGTAACTGTGCCAGTAACTGTTACAATGTTATGGATATACTTATGTTAATTTACATTATTCTTTTTCAGCTACCATTACTTCACTTCCTATTGCTGCCCCTGGGCTTTCATTTTCCCCCTTATTGTATTTCTGAGCCGTGAAATTCTCCTCGGAGTATTGGAGCTATTCAGAAGTGTTTCAATGCAATATTTTTCCAATTGGAAAATGCTGATTTGTTCAATAAAAAGCACTTGATGGAAACTTCTTTATTTTGATGAGGGCCATTCTTACATCTAAGATGGAATTTCTGGTCAAAACCACAGACACAAAATAGCCAGTAGCTTAGGGAAAGATTTACCTCACCTGACTTCTACTGCCTTAAGTCAGACATTTATTCTTAGGTTTCCTCTGAAGTCAGTAATTCAGACTAAATGCTCTGCTTTTAGATGGCTAAAATTACATAAAATGGATCATATTCTGAGAGACTTGGAAACTGTCTGGGGATATATGAATCATATGTCCAACCTACCTGATGAGATGAAATGTTGGAATTTGGGTCTTCACCTCCCAGAGGATTCCTCTAACCACCAGGCAGGAGTGCCTGTTCTACCCTCGCTGCTAAAAGCTAATGAACTATTCATTTGGCATACCAGGAACCAAGTAGAGAGGAGACTTCAGCCAAAACCCAGGCTTCAGAATCATCTTCTGACTCAATTAGGATTTAATTATTTATACAAAGTAGAATAGCTCTGGTAGGAGTTCTTTAAAAGAAATTGCTCTGGTATCAGTTACCTCCAGGAAGAAGAACCAGAACTCAGCTCAGATATTGGTTGCTTTTCTCATTTGACATCCTTGACAACTGATTTTTCTGGGCCCTTATTTATCCTAAGGGCTTTTTTTTGGCTTTGATTAGAACTGATACTACATGCTAGCCCTCTAAGATTGTTCACAAAATTGAATTCTTATTATCTTGCTTACTCTACTCTTCCCCTGCCTGGCATATCCATCCACAATCTTCCAGAAAATTTATAGGACTATCTGTTAAGATTAGCAACAAATGCTGAAAAAAGAACTGTGTTCATCATTAGTAAGATTATTCTATTTGGTAGTGCTCTGCCAGACCCCAGTTCCTCTCAAGAGGGATTCTGTTTCACAAGCAGTTCAAATTAAACTTTCCTGTCTCACATAGCTCAGTTAAAAGACTTTCTATGATACTTTCAATCCTTCCATTTTTGACTTGGTGATCACAAGACCTTTGTCTGTGACCTCCTGCAAAAATGACTGTGTTATGGTTCACCCCAGTATGACCCTAAAAATTTACATTATATTGGTGTTCTGAGCAAAGCCTTAACAAACATCTTTAATCAATTAATTCTTTTGCTATCCCCTGTATAAAACAATGACAAACAAAAAATGTTACTATAGAACCCTATAAGCTCTCCCTTTCCTGGAGGGATTGAATGTGTATCCTTCACACCTCATTCAAGGACTTGGCTACACAATCTTTCGTTCACAGTTGATCACCATGCAGTTAGATTGCAGAGAAAACCAGAATTCTTTAATTTACAGCATATTCCCCCAACATGCTGTAGATACAAAAACTATTTCTGTAAACTCTCAAAAATGGAAACTATCCTCAAACATCACTGAATTTAGTAGCAAGCTGCCAATTATGTATTTTTCTTTTCCATAAGTAAGTTTTGCTTGTGGAGAAACAAGAAACCATTGGTATTTAGTGAAGGCCAGCCAAACACTGCAGAGCTGATCATGGCCAAAAGAACCTATTACTTTATTTAATCCTACTGAAACTACACCAAAGCCTTTCCACTGTTGATCCAAGGTACTGCAACATGATGGACGTTCGTTTCTGTCCAGAGGTTTAGTATGAATATCTCTTCAGGCAACTGTAAAGGAGGATTTTCCATGTCATATAAAAAGGCATCCCTGTTTAGTCCAACATCCCAGAAGTTGAGAGAAAAGTACATTCCAGAGGAAAGAGGATCATACCCCATAGTCTGCTAATCAAAGTTAACTATCTGAGCTCAAATTCTGGGCAGCAAAAAATCCCCATATCCTGATTTTCACAGATGCTTTGACATAAGTGAAAAGTGGAACTTTTGAGCAGTGAAATAAAATCAAAGCCAAACAAATTCCATCTTATAAAGTATGCCTTTAAGATATATGTTGTGGCTGAATTGTGAGGTAGCACAGAAAAGCCAGTGATCAGGAAACTAGCACTGATCATCCAAAGGAATCTCTTTTGACTTTGTTTTTTTGTGTGAGCTATGATCTAAGAATTTATCTTCAAATTCAGAGCTCTTCAGCACATCTCAAAACTTTAGACAATTTTGTCACCATATTAAATCCAAATCTAATTTTTTATCCCTTTCCATTGTGCTGCCCAATTTCTTCAGGCCCATCTGGAATACCACATAAGCCTCCATGAGGTGAACCAAGAATAACATGGCAGTGGTTGAGGAAACACATACAAACACAGTACTCTGAAGCAGCAAGAAACCTTGAAATGTGACTAATGACAAGAGAATGAAACTTCCGGTTTAAATGGATCAATTTTTTTTTAGTAAAGTTTAAGTTTAAAGCCGCAGTGGACTCATGAGATTAGAGTCGTATGTATTAATTGCAAAGAAAGACTAATGCTAGCATTAGACCTTAGTGGAATGTCAAGTACTGATTAGGTAATTCTAGAGATCTGGGAACCTAACTCTTATAGTCTATAATAATCACACTAAAATGTCATGAAGAATTGTGTGAATAAGGAGAGCTCTTCCATGTACCTGAGCTATTCTGTGTATGAGAGAGAAAGAGAGAAAAAGAACAAGATCTTGCAGCAGGAAGACAAATCAGAATAAAATAGTGACATGGTTAAAGGTTCTTGCAGGGACTGGCAAAATTAAAACAAAATTTCATTTCCTGTGATAAATGGAAAAGCAACAAAATTTGAGTCTAAAAAAAATATAACTACATTGTTGAGAAACAATTTATTATTCTCTGTATACTTATTTCCTTCTGATACTTAAGAAATTTTAAGACTTCATAGGACTCAACACACATCCATGCTAATATACTTCATTTAGCAAATATGGATTTAGGGAAGATTCTAGAGGAAGTTCATACATTCTTCATTAAGGCTGGAAATATTAGATATCATATTTCTGCTAAATCTAAATTAAGAATAGTGGAAAAAGTAAGTAAACAAATAAATAAAGAAGTGCATTTTTATGCACCATAAAGTTGAAAAGTAAGAAAAAATAATAGTTTTGTTTCAAATATTTCATGAGGTATTTTTGTACAACTTGGAAACAGTGCTAGTTCTAATGGCATACAGAATTTATTGGAAGATTATTACTACCCCTAACACAGTGAAAGAAAGTCCTGAAAAATTTTCAAGGCCTACAAAAAGCATTCTTAACAAGGAAGGCTACTGTGAACGGATTGGCATGAAAACACATCTATTTCTAGGACCCTCTTCTAAGATTCAGTACCTGACAGGGTACTAGACCTAACCAAATGACAAGTCCCAGAAAGCTTATTCTCCTCTAAATCTCCTACCATATCTCCTAAGCATCTGAGTAGAGCTGCAAAACTTTAGAGAACTATGGAAAATTCATACAGACTAAAGACAGACTTACAGACATTTGGATCCAGACTGTAGAACACACTCACAATGCTGACTTTGAACGCTTATTTATTTAGCTACATTTTCCTCAAATATATCAACAAAATGGAAGTGGATATGTAAACAAGATGATTGTCACATAATTAAATAATTCTTTCAACAGAAAGAAAAAGACTGATTAACATTTTACATGACTTTTAATTCTTTCTAGAGGATTTCCAGATACTACATGATTTGTATGACAACTGAGAAGCAAATAAAAGAGTTTTGAACTGTCACAGTCACATACAGTCCTTCCTCCTGGAATAAATAGTATTTATTTATGTATTAAACAAAGACAAGCAATTGGCAAGCCTGCATAAACATCTTTGTACTTACGGTGCCAGGTCGCGGGTACGGAATTCTGCCCTGATATGGAATCAGCTGGTGGTTTGGGCCCTCCTTGTGTGCAAATGGCCCATTGAACACAGTCTGGATGTCAGGCAGATGATACACACACACGGCTGAGCCTTTAAATATGGAGCTGGAAGACAGCAGGAAAAAGTTAGCACTGCAATCTAGCAACTTTTTTAAAGCTTTTCCATCATTTTGCATGGTCCAGTGATGAAAGATACCTCTAAAACAATATATTTGATACAATTTAATCCTTCTATAGCATGGATTTAATACATTTAAAATCAGCTAATCTAGCTGCTCAATATGCACCACTACTTCTTAAGACTTAGCACCTTTTTGAACAGTGAACTGAAAAAAGAGGGAGGAAGGCACTGTCTTACTGGTGCAATAAGAACACTTCTTAATGCTGAATATAAAAAAAAATATAATCTGGCTCCAGTTAAATCAATGGCAAAAATATTGCTGACTTTAGTGAGACAAGAGTTTTATAAACTTTGTACTGCCAAGCTCAGCACAGGTTTCCAGAACTCCCTATCAGTATATTAACCACAAGATCTCCATGAGCCTCTTAAAATACAAGGCTAAAATATTAATCAAAATATCCAGAGCAATTACAATTGGTTGGATAATTACAATCAGTTGCCAGCTTTTCTAAGCAAAGTGGGGACATACCGTGGCTGTAAAGGAATTACTCCTATACAGTCCAGAAGTCCACCCAAAAAATGGTCTTACAAAGACCCAAGTTTGATGCTTCCTGAGGAGAACCCAGGGAGTCCCCTAAGAAAAGTATGTTTTTCCCACTGCTCTAGGCTTAGCCATGGGTTCAGTTAGCACAAGCCTTGAATGGTCTCCATCACCCCATGATGATGAAGGGCATTAAGGGAATAATTTCCAGACTGATTCTTGGGCTGACTATAGTAAATTATCTCCTTCATTTTTTCTCTCAGTGCATGCAAGGTTTGTGATATTTATCTTTAAAAAGTGGAAACTCCAGACAGTCCAAAATCTGTCTGATGTTAACTGTAGGATGAAGATAATCCAAGTAATTATTTTCAACTGAAGAAGAAAAAAACACTCCAGAAAAAGACATGAAAACATTACACATAGTGTCTAAAAAAGGAAAGTGAAATCCACATTGCTCTCAGTTGGATTAGTAGAAGGAACCTTTCAGATGGATTATGGTACTTGTGGAAATTTTACTATGTATTAATAGATTTTGAGAAATTTATTTAGTCTTTCCAGATGTTTTATGTTAGCTTTACAGCATATTATGACAGTAAAATAATTTGCTTCAATATTACTTGGTTTCCTTCTGTATGATCTAGACAAAAATACTACTAGTTATTAGGTTTCTGTGACGTTTCTATCTTGCTACTGTTAAGAGTTGGAAGTCTACAGAGGTGATGATACAGGAACTGTTAAGCAGTAAAAATCCTTATGGCTGCTGTGTTTAACTAGGTAATACATTCGATAGTTGAACAAAAAGAAAGCAAGCAGAAACCATGTGGTTCACAGGAACAGAAATGCATGAGTGTAAAAACTTCAACAGAGAGAGAAAATAGCTTGAGAGCCAGGAAAAAATGAAGTTTTCTCTTTGTTGTCACCTTATATGGTCCTGTGATTCAAACCTCATTTCCACTGCAGAAATACCAGAAGATTTGGGTAGAAGTGTTTCCAGTTCAGTCATGTTGCATCCACAACCTAATCATAAGTGTGGTTTTACTGCTAAACATAACCTCATCATTTTCTCTTTTTGTGAAGTAGGAATCATAAATTGTAGACAGAACCAAATGTTTACTAGTTATGTGATGGGTTTTTTCCCAATTAAATATCATAAAATTATGAAAGGACTTTTTTTTACTAGAAATTGCCATTAAAGAAATTATTGGTAGCAAGTTACGTAATTTGCTAATTTGATCAAATAAATTAAATAAAACAAAAAAAGCAGAAAACCTCTTTGAAAATAAGAAGTAACAGGATAGTAACAGGAAGTATAGGATAACACATCAGAAATCAGTAAGCAGTAACTATTTCTACTCTTTACTAACACTGTGTGGTGAGGGCAAGAGGGAAAATGAAAAAAAAATGGCAGAATCTGTGGGTCCACCTGTCAGTCTATCTTTGTGGAGAGTTTCAGCACAGTAAGCCAAATCTAGCGCTTCCACCACCCTTGGGAGCTCACTAAGTGCTTTCTAAACTGGACAGTAAGTGAATACTGACTGGTAGCAGGGTGCTTAGGGCTACAAGGAGGTGATCAAATGCCATAGCTTGTCCTTTTGTAGCCAACTGAAGCCGATTTGGATTATTTGGCATCTGTATGATCATCTGCCAGCTGAGAGACTGGAAATGATTTGTATGAATTCATGTAAGAATTCTTGGTTTGATCTTTCCCAGTGCTGGATGTTCCTCAGGAGGTGTTAAGTGCTCTCAGATGCCACATAAGTTCACTGTGTTGAAGTCATTTAGCTTTCTGCTGCTGAGCAGTAACAAGTGGCCCTCCATGGAAATGTTTTCCCAGTGCCAGCTGACAGTATGTCAGGAAGCAGTTTGCTCCAAGAAGCATAGCTCTAACATGGATACCAACAGTAATGGTACTGAGACTCTTACTCCTGCATGCAAACAATAGCTGCAGTAGACATACAAAATTGCACAGCACAGCCTAGTCCACAAAAATCAACTTGAGTTTTCATACAGAAAATCAAGCAGTTCAGAAAGGTAATTTTTTTCAAACCTCCCCGTTTACCTTGATGTTGTAAAAATTCCATACACAAGCGTTGTTCTGGGGTTATCTGTCTCTAAAAGAAACACATCCTCTGAAAGAAAGAAAAGGAAAAAGAAAAATGCTTTGAATACTAATAAAACTCTTTATTTTCTAATTCAACTTATTACTTTATTCCTGCTAAAGTTAATGGCAATTTTGTCTCAGACTTGAACAGCAAAAAGCAGACTTACCATATAAACAGACCACATATGCATAAATCTAGTATTTGAACATTCAGAAACAGATTTGGAAATTAACTCCACACCATCTAGCCTTATGGAGATAGAAGGCAAAGATTTTCAAATACGTTCAGGTTCCATGTCACACATTTCTCTCAGCTGGATCTTGTTTCAGCAGGTTGTTTAACAGTAGGCAAACACTAAAGTTGCAGTAAGTTAAAGAGTTCCCATAGATGGATGTAACCAAAACCAGGGAAATTAGGTGTTTTATCATCCAGAATGTACTCTAGTGCCCTCACAAGCTCATTCTCAACATGATATGAATGACACACAGCTTAGCAGTGAAGATATTGAGAGATGTAAACCTCCCAGGCTCCTTTGTGTTGGGATTTATTGACTGCACTGTGCAAAACTGTACCTACTCACTGAACTGAATTTGCCCACTGTTACCTCTGATCTATTGATTCTTTCTTTTACACTTCAGTGAAAACTACTTTAATTTCTGACAGTTTCTCCTTCCAAATGTTTTTAATAACTATAATCATGCTACCTCTTAATTTACAACACAAAAATGACTGAACTGTTTGAGCTTTTTATCACAGAATATGTTCTTTAGTTTTCCATAAATTTATGTGGCTCCTTCACTTAACCCTCTGAATTTTTTAAATATTCTTTTCAATATGTCAAAAGCAAAAGACTTCACCATGCAGAACTGGAAGTGTTACACTCTCCTGCATTATACATGAACACAGAAGCATGTGTTTGCTCTCTCCCATTTTTCCGAATTTCCAGCTGTGATTGTATTCTTCCTCTTTGCTAGGGAATTGTGTTAGGAGCCCACGCTGAGAACATTGTATCCTATTCACTATGGTCCTACATTTTGTCACACAAAAACCCCTAAAAGCAGTTATCCTACTGCATTGTGGAGAGGTGGGGGTTGGTAAATCACAGTTCTGAAAGGCAAGTTGCTGTGGCAGTGCTGAGGCACTGTGCACTTCAGAAAATCAGTCCTCCAAGCACCTTGCACATTCTGAGTTACAGCAAGTTAGGATCTGCTCCTAGGCCCAGATTCCACTGAAACCTTGAACAAGTACAGCAAAGAGTTGTAAATATATAAACTCAAAAAGACTCCAAACTCAATTTACTATTATGAGGAATAACAACTGAGAAAAGAGTGAGAGGATACAGTGGAGAGAAGATCAGAACCAGATGCAGACCCAGTGCAGGGCCCATTAGCCATTTACATTATTTATATTTCTACTAATGCACATAACAAATCTTCCAATAGTTGAACTTATAACTATGATTCAGCACACTTCAGCTGCACACTTCAGTGGACAACACAGAATTTGAAACCTTCTGATAATGTTATTTGGTAATTAGGTATCAAGATATGCATCTATTAATTCCTTAATGAAAGGAACCCTCTTGTGATTGCTGTATAGATTATGCACTGAATATTTACAGTGTTTCACATGTTGAAACAAAAATCTATGTAATTGAATGATTCCTCAGAAATTATATCTCTTCATAGTACTACTGCTGATGCCAGTAACGGGAATTATTAATATTATCTTGAACTACCAAATTGAGGCCTCTACCCTGTGATCAAAAAATAGAAAAACTGTATTGTGGAAAAGCTGTGCGTTAAACAGCAGTATAAGAAACACTTTCAAACAGATTTTAAAAAATCACTATAGTAAGCCTAACTGGTAGTAAAACAGTAACAGATTAACTTAGATGTTCCCTTCTAAATATTAATTCTTTATATATATAATTCCTTTACAAAGTCAAGATTAATTACCTTTATTTCAAAGGTAATGACACTTACGCAGAGAGACTTATGAAGAATTTTTTAATTTCCTGTCATAAAACCACAAGGGAACTTGCGCCATGGATTTCTAGAGCCAAGATTTCACTCTAAACAACTTGACTAAGAAACTGTATGAACATCAATGCACAGAGTGTAACATTTAGATAAAACTTTTAAGGGATTTTTTTATGATACCTAATTCATCAAAGTACGTTTCTGTTCCATCTTCATCCATCACTGAGCACACAAGTCTTGCTTTCAAGAATGTTGTCCACTTGTTCACGAGACTGCGCTGACCACCTGTGTCATTCTGGAAAGGAATATTATTTTCAGAAAAAAAAAGTACAACACAACTAACATTTTACTAGTCTTTACCATTTTTTTCTCAAGTTAAATCATCATCCAGATAATTATCTGGTAAATTTAATATAAAAATAGATAGACCTAAACCAAATCCCCTTATCTAAACACTCCATATGCAGAACTAGTTTTCTGAGCAGGCCTTCTCTGCTGGGCTAGCAGGCTTAGAGAATCAGGCAGTAGATTTAGTGCATGTAGTAGAATGTGTTTGTATGATTGGAAGGGACTGTGGAGGTTTGTATCACTCATTGACACCCAGTGTAAAGTCCATGCTATCTCCAAAAGGTCTCATAGTACCATGGAGGGATGTTTTTTGCAGTCTTGACAGCAGCATAGCTGCACATGACCTAGTAAGCCATGTTGGCACAAGGTGGATGCTCTAAAGTCATAAATGATGGCTAGTGTGGGTCAAGGTAGTTTTGCACTGTTGCAAGTCCTGGTAGCCTGGTCCAGAGCTGGCTTGGTCACAGATCACTCAAGGATCTTTCCACTTCTCTCTGCTGCAAGGTAGAAACTGTAACTGCCAAACCAGATGGTGCAGCATCAAGGTGATAGATCTGCCTCATCTTGCTGGTGAATGCCTTAGGTAAGAGCAGTGTCTTATAAACTGCACAGCATGATGTCACCCAAGGAAAGGGAAAAATGAAAGGTAGAAGCTACTGAAATGTGATTTTCATAAAGTCCTGTGCATGTTTTACTGGTGCTCCTAGAGTTGGTAATCTGACTTTTCAGGTGACTTATAAGGAGTCTTTTTGTGGGGTCTTTCTTAGTACCATTTTATTAATATATTTGGCCAGTGTCAAAACTGTTGATGTATGAATATGGTGGTATACAAGTATACAAATATGACTGGCTCAGATTTATTTTCATTGGCTTTGGGGTTCTGTCACTGACTTCAGTTTAAGTCTAAACAGGATTAGGCCTTTCAAAAATCATCTGGGCTTCATTATAACAGTAAAAAAACCAAATACAGCTGTAATTGTGTAAAATGTCTTCTTGTAAAATACCCAAAAAGGCCTTCAGGCATCCTCACAAAAATACAGAGAACTGAGACTATAAAAGAGATCACATGCCTCATAATATTGCCAGAGAAGGAGTTTAGCACAATCCCAAACACGCCCTCACACCCAGGCATAATAACATCACAAAGCATCAAATTCTAAAGAAGACCTAAATTAAAGTAAACACACAATTATCTTCTTGAACCTTTCCAAAAGAAGGAATGAATAGGTTACCAATAATCACGTATTTATAATTTTTCTCTCATTAAAAAACATCCATTTCACCAGATATTAATAGCTGCTTCAATAATTTTTCATCTACAGTTGATTACAGATATGAAAAAAGAAACAGAGACAATGAGGAGTGCTGTGAAAATAAACTGATTTTTGCTCACGAATAGCCATAACTCCTCAATTTAATTTTCCTGTGCACATTTTTAAAGTTAGGCTCACACATGCATCAATGCAAGAACTCAGAAAGAACAGATATTGTAAAAATGAAAACAACATTTGAAAGTTATATCAACCCATTTAAAAGCTTGATATTTCCCATGTGCTTTAGAGATTTTGAGTGTGAGAATTTTTTGAGACTTCACTGGTTTTTAGCTCAGTTTTTCTAAGAAAATAATGTACCCTATTTGTGCCAAGGACAGCAAGTTTGAAAATTCAACACCGGTAAGTATTCTGACTCAGTCAGAGAAATACACAAATCCCTGAATCTCTAAATTTCCATATCCTTACAGGTACAGCCTGATATACATAACATGTTCAGACCCTAACTATGAGTTCAATAACAGCTCTTCTTAATTATGAAGGTGAACGCAGAAACAGGAAATTTGTTTCGAATATAAATCAAAGGCTTATCCCAACAACCTGACAAACAAAATAGTCCTTACTGGGCATATTCTTGCAATCATTGAATGAATTTGCTTTGTGCTGCCGCTGTTGTCTGTGAGTCTCTCTTTGAAGAAGAAGTAGATTTTGGCATCATTGGGGTCAGTGCCATCTGGGATAACATGAGCATCCACAAAAATTGGCTCTGCAATGAAAAAATTTACCAAAAAGATGAAACCAATATATAAGTATAAGAATAAGCAATTAATGACTTCACAGTTACTGACTGCTTCAAGGAAGCACTGTGTAATGCATATAGAGGAACTGCTGTGGAAGGCTAAGCTATGTGCTCTAGCTTCATGTCTGTATATAACAAATATCAGTAGGTAAATGGCTCCTTGCTGGCAGCCATACGTTTTTGCATCTTAGCATTTTATTCCACAGCAGATTTTTAGAGGAGTGATTCAGAAGCAGCAGTATTAGGTTACTGCAGAGACTCAAAGACTTTGAGGAAGAAGAGGGAAGAATCTGTGTGCTATCTGGGGCCCCTAAGGAAAGTCTCATTGAGACAAAACATAAAATAAGATGCAACAGCTTAGGAAAATAACAGATAAGGTTCATAAATAAGAGAGGAAAACAATTTGTGGAACACAAAAAAAGGTAAGAAGGGTACGCAAATGCTTGAGCAGCATTTAAGTTCATATCAGAGGCTGTTAAACATAACCCAATGTGCATGCAAAACACTGCAAAGGAGCACTAGTCAGAGAGCAAAATAATTTATAACCCTAACAGCAAGCATATAATGGACAGTGGAAGAGTCCTCAGAAGACCTTCTCCTTTGCCTGAAGGAAGAAGTGGACCCTCTCCCTGCACGAAGGCTCTGTCTTTTCAATGATCATGCAAGATTGCTTGTTTGGTTGAAATGCAGTACAAATTTTGAAACAGTCTGATACAAAGGTTGACTGTCTGACAGAAAACTCCCTTTACACTGCAGTATTTTTCTATTCACATAAGCCTCTTCTCAATTAATATAATAAGTGTTATGACTACAGCTCTAAAAGGACATGAAAATAAATTGTACTTTCAAGTACCTGTTCTGAACATAGGTAACAGGCAGATTTTCTAGAAATTAGGCATTTTTAATTGTTCTTTTTCTCTAATTCACTTTAGGATGCACATGTCAGGGTGTGCAGGTAAGTGTAAGAAGAAAAACAGAAGAAAAACTTAGAAAACAGACAGTTTCCTGTCCATAGTGAACTGAATTTATTCTGATTCCAATCCTATGATTTCACTGTAGTCACAGCCACATAGGAATGACTAAAGAGAGTCACGTTAAAAAATACCAAGAGAAAACCACAGTAACTTTACTTCAACATATCTGAAGGCTTTCTAATATTGTAACTGCTATGTTAGTCGCTCTATAAATTTAGATATCTACCTTTGCTCAGAGGCATAAGCACCATTTTAATTCAGAACAGTTTATTTGGAAGGAGTTTTCTTACCAGTAAAGACAGGGAGAATTTTCACAGTGATGTCAGTGATGCAAAGAGTTAAGTGCTCCCACTCAGATATGAGTTTTCCTACTGTGTTTAGATAACCAATTCCTTATCACTGAAATAAGTAGCAATAATCCTCACTGACTTGTCTGATAATGAGACTCTCTTCTGCACACATTTTGAATGCAAGTGGTGGTGAGTCTTCTGCATAGATGTGGATCAGCTTGAATTAACTGAAGCTGGTACCTTAGAATCAAATACTGTAATTTAAGGGAATATCTGGTGCATTAGAGGTGAAGGCACTTTTCTAGAATTCAGACTGTCTGACCACTTGCCATTTGCAAGGTTGCCACACACTGTCCCTTGAACAGTTTGGTTCAGTCTTAATGCAAAAAAGGTCCTCAGGTGGGGTGGCCTAAGAGGTTTGTACATGCAGTGAATTCTTTACATCTGTGCATTGTCTACAGTACATATTTACATACACTTCTTCATGGTTAACTTCATACATTAAATTCAGAGACAAGCTCTTTAAAAGATAAGCTCTTTATTTTAAGCAAAGCAAAGCAGAATCTCTGTGACATCCATTAAAAGATCTGGTAAAACAAAGGCATCTCACCACTTAGCCACTTGGAGTTATGCTGGTCAGTTCTCACTGCATTCCTCCTGGTCAGACTCCGAAAAATGGCCGCATCCGTCCCCATGAAATCAATATACATTCCTGAAAAAAGCTCTTCATCTGAAAAGAATTGAAATGGAGGGGAAAAACTCAATGCATTGTTACGGCTTTTGGGAAACTCAAAAGTTTATTTTAAATTCATCAGCTCTTTATTTACACAGGAGTCTATACAGATAAATAGTGGGTCACGGGAATGGGGTTTCCTCTGATTTACAATGACACAAACTAGAATCAGATTTTTCTTAAAGACTTTTAGGAAACTGCATCATTAAATGCCACAGCAGAGCTGTATACATGGCGAACCTCTTGATAGGAAGTTTAGTTGCTCAACTTCCACTGCTAAGGATCACTGGAAAATCAGACTAGTGTTATCAAAAAAGTATCACATCCAATTTTTTAAGGATTCACTTCAAATAAATTTTTTTGCTATGGAAGTAGACAAAGTGACTGGCTTGAATTTATTGCTGTTGTAAACTGGCGCAACATTTATTGTAGCCAGTGGATCAGTGCCAATTTATACCAGGAGTATTGTCACAGCTGCCCCAGGCAGCCTCAAGCTGACTTCAGTATTGCAGAGGCCAGACAATCATATTATTGAACTTTACTCAAAGTAATAGGGAGCAACAATTATCCCCTTTTGTGTACTTGATTCCAAGTATAGGGTCATTATGCTTGAACAGAATTAGACACGCAACTTCTACATTAACAGAACTATGAACTTCTGCTCTCTGTGCAGGGCTGAACACATAGTCCATCAGTCAGGATGTGTATCTGCATTTGTTTGAGTCCATGTGTGTGCATAAACATATGTATATATAATTATAATTACATATACTATCATTTTCCACTCCATGAATAACCAAGCAATTTCCACTGACTAATGACAATGAAACCCCAGAGCAGAAAACAGTAGCTAAAATAAACTCTAACTCTGAGGGTGGGAGTGGTGGCTGAATACATTCCAGTACAGCTGGGTCCTTTGATTGATGTTTTTGTCTGAATTCCTGGACTACCCAGAGAGTGTGGTCAAGCTGGCAAGAGTCACAGGTTCAGAAGTGCCTGAGGCTATTTTCATGCTCTGTGTGTGTGTGCATGTATGTTCACACATCAGTATGGAAGATTACTGGCTCATGAGAGAATTACAACTGGAGACTTTGCTTTTCTGCTGCTAACTGGAGCCTGAACTAAACCCCTGTAGAGCATCCAGCAGCCACTCTTCTGCTTTCACCTCTCCCAGTGATGACAAGGTTCATACACAGGGGATTTAAAAAACGCATTCGCTGCATGTTGGTGAAGTGTTTACTTCCTCAGCAGGTATTGACAGAATGATGTTGGATCTATACACATTTATAAATGATTTTGCATATTTTGCCTCCTTGTTTCAATCAAACATGCTTAGTATGAAATTAATTAGCTGAAAGAGATCAGGTTTATGCTTCCTGATAGATGTTATGTACAATTCTGTGCACATACACATATGTACACACTTTAACAATAGTGCTGTACTATGTAATATTAATCCTATTACGTATCAGTGCTATTAGTTATGTCTTAAGCATTCCTAGTGTCTGCTTGCTAATCGTGTATCAGATGAAATCCATCAGTTCCACTTCCTTCTGGTAAAATCCTTACATTCCACACAGCACTTGGTCTGCAAAGCACAAGGAGCTCACACTACTTCACTTTGTTACTGGGGGGAATTACTGAGTTGATGAGGTCTGTATAAATATCTGAGTCTTGGTGGGGAGAGAGACATACATCCTGCACATTAGTTATGCCAAGCTGCTTCAAAGCACATTTTTCATTACTTCGATGCAAATGTGTCTTTGTACAATGGCAAATTGTATGAAGTTCAAATTTGTTTTTATATCACCGCTTTCCTCTGAAAGGTGAATCAGCTTTCCTGCTGTATTCTAGGCTGGTGATGCCCAAAATGGTCAAGAAACTGCATCTATATTTAAAAATGGTTCTTTCATTTTGGAATAACTAGCCTGTCTGGCGGTATTTCCTATCTTCTGAAACAAGAGGAGGGAATCCCTCCTGCAGATTGTCTGAAGAAGAGTCCAGTACATGGGCTCAGTCCCCTCATTATAACACAAGCTGTGAGTTACAAAATGTTCCTTTTTCTGGCCTGGATACTGAGGTTAAATTCATTAGAGCTTAATGTTTTTGAACTGACTGGACTTTGTAGTAACAGGGAGAAAGTATAAAACCCAATCTGTGGGACTCTTTTTAAAAGGAATATGGCCTTTGTGGAATAATTTAAACTTTGTAGATGTCATGAAAGATAAGTCAAACATTAGGGAAGATCTCTTCAGTCCCATAACTGAGAGATCAAGGAAGGTAACAAAAAGTCTATTAAGATGAATAAAGCTGCCATAAATCTATTGTAGGAAAAAATCAGCTTACTCTATAGACAGTAATTCAGAAACAATGTACTTCAGTGGTACTACATAAAATCCAGAAGGAACAACGAAAGAAAACTTTAATTTTTTAATGACAGTTGATTCACTTCATAATACCAGAATAGCAATGAGCAGCAGAGGACTTATCAATCACTGACTTTGAACAAACATTTTCTTTACACAGCAAGTGTCTGTAAACACTGTCCTGTCCCTAGATCACTGATGAGATAAAGATGTAAGTACAGCCAAGGTTCAGACAGACATCTAGGTAGCATTTACCTGTTCTCTAAAGGTGCTTTAGTTCATACATTTGTGAATAAATATATTTGTCCTAAATATATTTCCAATTTAAAAAAAAGGCAATTTACATTTTGAACAGACCGTGTAGGATAAATTATATGACACTTCACTTAAGATCCATGATTCAAACTTTAAAGGAAATATCTGGCACAATATTTATTTGCCATTGATTTCAGTGGAAGCTGAATGGCAGAAACACGGCACATTGTTCCCTTGTAAACCTTGGGTGAAATAAAAGTCTGAAAAATCTGTGCAACTGCTGTTCCTCTCAAAGCCAAAAATACAGCAAGGAGTAGGCACATGTTGAATAATCAAGGCTTTGGCACTGTATGTCTGTGAACATGATGCAAATGTGAAAGGTCAGGTTACACAGAGTATATATAACACACTTCCTGGTTGAAAAAAAAAAAAGGGATCTTTTACAGATTACTTAGGTTGCACAAAGCAACCTAATAAGCACAGCAGAAATCCTTTGCCTGGGCTATATCTCACAGTCAATGAGTACAGTTGCCACCAGTTCACACTAATATTTGAGGAGTGGCAGTTGTATCACTTTGTGGCCTTTCAGATGGAAGAAAATTGCAAAATTGGTTGGGTATAAAGCCAACTGAAGAATGAAGAGCCTTGCGATAATTGGTGGGCTCTACAGCAGAGATGACAACAAAAATGAAATTCATAGCATCTAAAGTCTTCAGGCTTTCTTTCCCTGGCTACTCTGAGATTTTACAAATAATTAAATGAGACACAAGTTCTGTCTAGGATGAACAAGGTCAGAAACCATTCAAACATAAATGCTAGACAGGGTAATGTAAAGTTGAAACTAATCCTGGGAAAAAATGTGTAAGCTGGAAAAGGGACAACCTTTTGTTCTCTCTCTCTCTCCCTTTCAAAGATGTCTTTCTGCATTTCATTTGTCCACCCACCTCTAGTTTCATATAAGCCTTGAGACAAGAAAGGACCCAACCCTTGTGCTCATCAGCCATTCAGGAGGCTGGATTATGTGTCCAGCTCCTTTTGGGCATTCCGTCAATCCTCATGACCACACATGATCACATGGCTTTAGACTCAGCAACTTGGAGTATCTTTACTTACTGATCATAACAGACACCGTGTTCACGTTGGGGTTGAAAGAACAGCGTCCTTTTCCTGATTCACACTTGGAGTCAATCTTGAAGATTTGTTCCTGCAAAGTAGATTTATGTGTCACTTCTCATTTCAGAAACCATCAGATGTAAAACCATTTTTATGCCTGGCCGTTTCCAGCATTAACAATGCTCTATTAGCACTGCACTATTGGGTACTTTTACTGTACTATCAGCAGTTTAACTGGTCTATTCAGAATTCCATCATCTTGGTAGATAAGATTTTCACTGATACCCAGTTATTTTCAAGACTCTTGTTATAAGTTCAAGACACTGAAACAAAGAATTTTTCTATCTCAATTAAGCTATGGAGAGGTTGACTGATCTCTGCAATATCATCTGTGGAGATTGCTCCTGTGTTTTTGAAGTTATTTATCATTTATTTGCTGAATACATGGTTATACTTACACCAGTCTAGGACATTATAATAAAGCTACTAGAACAATAATAACAATAATGCATATTAAATAAAAATTTCTTATGACAACTGTCATTTGATGATAGTATAAAACATTTGGTCTTTACTGATCTATCAGACACCCAAAAATCCCCTAAATCATACTTATTTTCTTCAATACCATCTCTTTGATAATGTTTAGAGCTTCAATTCCATAGTAATAGGTGATTATAGTCTGAAATCTTTTGAATTTTTTTTTTCTGTTTAGAAATCATGGTATGGGGATTTGTTTATATTTTAACGTGATTTATGAACAGGGAACACATTTATCAAATTAGATAAAACCTGGACTACAGCTTGAAATACAAATAACCTGAGTATATTTAGAATATTTGCCCATTTTGGTGTAACTTCACTTCTGGGTTCCCACCAATACTAGCACAATGTGCTGAGCAAGAAGTGACTCATGTCCAAGCCCGTTCCTTAAAAACTGCAGTCACTAAAGACAGAGACACTGATCCATTGCACATCAACTCACATACCACTGTATTCCAAACAGCTTGTTCCTAGGCTCCTGTAACAAACTTCTAATCTTTAATAAAAAGCCAAAAGACAAGCTTGCAAGAAAAACCAACCACCTAAACTTAAAAAATTTCAAAATAAAAAGGTAGCTGACAAAAATTCCACAGAAAGGCTTCTGTGATCTAGATGCCAATGTATTAGTTATTTGACAAAGGACAGCAACTCCTTATATTCTCTTTAATAGTTAATGCAAATCACGGGGGAAGGGGGATGCCACACAAATCCCTGAGCAGCCATTTGGCACCAGCAAATTGGAGATTCCATCAAGCTCAAATGCACAGCTGCAGCAGGAAGTTTTCATATCCATTATCCCCTCTCGTTTTGCCCTCTTCTGTTTTGCCTAATTTAATCACAGAGATCTTATCTATTGTTTCAGTAATAAGCTCTCTAAACAATGTTAAAACATAGGTTTAAAGTTTATAACATGATCTTGGGTGGCTTTTTGTTGTTGTTTCGCTTGTAGATTAATATGCAGCTTGATTTTAATCCATATTTACTATATTATACCACTATTTACCAATTCAAAACGCCCATTAATGCTCTATTAAACTAGCTCCAGGCTTACACTTGATTTTCATATATATTAAACTACCTTTTAGTCTATAATTATGTCACATAGGATTATATTTCCTTCTGTTTGCATTTACTTTGACATTAGAATATATTTGGGTGACTAAGGGAGTAATTACCAAAGAGCAAAGTATGAAGTGTGTTAAGGAAGAAAATTAATTGTCATATAACCTCTGTTTTAGGGAAAAGGTAAAAATTCTGCCTCATCAATGAATCCCCCTTTTTTGTGAGCTTATGTAGAATCCTGGAGCAAAACAAAAGAGCAAAACAGGCCCAGTTCTTATGATTGTTGGATACAACTGTCAGGCTTTTTAGTTTCTACAGAAAAACAGATGTGCTTTGTAAAATATTCATTTTGCACGTGCAAAACCAGCCTTCTTTGCATGGAAAACTGCACTAAATTAAAGGTGAAATGATAAAAGCAGAGAAAAAAATGAGTTCTCACTAGTCCCATCAGGACTACACAGTTCTTCATTCTGCTCTAATAATTACTCATGCACAGATATATGTAATGAGTTCAGAAGGAAATTCTTGGTTCTAAACTGTTATGCTATTGTTGGCCTGTACAATAATGGCTTTGAGCATGCAATGCCTACAGTCAAGTGTCTCACAGACTCCAGACATCTCAAACAGCAGTTTATTTAATCAATTGATATAGGCATGTAGCTATACAGACAGGCTAAGTGAAGCCAGTTCTTTTCCAAATCACGTATCTTTACTTTTCATTTAAACAATTTAACATATTGCATCATCTGGAGATGTCGTTTCCTGCATTCCCCTCTGTTCCAATTTCATTTAAAAAACCTCTGAAATAATGCGATTCAAAGTCTTCTGGGCTGCAGATTATGATAATAAAGGAATATTACATTAATTAGAGACAAATGATATCACTTCTTATATTTTAAATAATTTCTCAAGAAATAAGATGATGCTGAGGAAAGGTGACCCCTGTTTCAAAATACATCAAAACAAGTTAATGCCAAATTCATTAACCTAAGGGATGGATTTACCTAGTCAGTTCTGTTTGCTTGCACTTTTAAATCCAGGCCTACAAATCTCTACTTTTGGATAATGTTTTAGGACTGAAGGCGCAGTGATTCAATCTGCAGACTGTGCTAAGGAGGCTGGAGCCAGGTAGGGATCTAACAAAAGTCACTGAGATCATCCTGTGCAAACCGATCTGGAGAGACATTGACTTATCACCTCCCTGGCAACCTATGCAGTATCTTGGGTCTTGGCCAGAATTCCCATCCCGCTCCCAATTAAATCAGTGATGAATTTCCCAGTGTCTTCCCCAGAAGCCAGCCTAGCTTTTAAAGCTGCCCTCACATGGCAACACTCCAGGTAGGACGCTCTGATCTTCCTTCCCAACACATCTGCTTCCACATTGTTCAGAAAAATATACTGCACACCCCTGTGCCTCCAGACATGAATCTGACCTGAAAGCTACTGAGGTGCTGCCTCTTGATAAGTGCCTTTCTTTTTCTTTCTGGTTGCTTAATTTATTAACTATTACATTTGCACATAAAGAAACATTTCACATTCAAATCAGGAAAACTGAACCATATACTTCTGAAACATCTGGTACTTTATATATTGAAAATGAACAGTGAAACTGAATACAGAAAAACTGGAGACTCATCTAGAAAAAGTAAGATCTCACAGAGAAGTAAAACTTTCCAACTTCACCTGGGCAGAGTCTAGGGCAAAATTTGTGCAGTAGATAAAGTTCCTGTACTGGGATTGCATCTAGTGGGTGTTAAGCTGAAGTCCAGCAAACTTTTGCATCCCTGAATAGTTATCCAAACTAAGGGTTTCTCCCAGGAACCAATAACACATGGAAGCTATAAAAAGTGGACTGTATATTTTACTGGCTAGTTCCTTTCAAGTATTTCTTAGGCATTTCCCCACCAAATGGTAGGAATGAATTCACCAGAAAATGTCAAATAAAAAGTAGTATCAAATGCCACCCAGCATTTGGTATGACTGTGGAATTTTGGACAACCATCATATTTCGGGCATGGCTTCTGATCATGGCTTTCCTTCTAGCTGGTAACACCTCAGTAAACTATGGACCTTTGCTCTTTTGCTATTTAACACGAGTGAATGACCCTATTCGGATCACTGATTCTTTCCGCGTTTTCAATATTTTGACTTTTCACATCACACCAGTAGGATGCACCACAGAAGGGAGTGGATAAAACGAAAAGAGACTCACCTCAGACCTGCGTCCCCTGTTGACGTACACGCACACGGGGCTGAAGGCGCCGCTGCCGCAGACGTACAGGTGTGTGCGGTTGTACGACTGTATCACACGCACAAAGTTTCCACAGCCATGCTGCAGGAAGTACAGAGAGCAATAATTTCACACTGGCAAATGTTACTAGATGTTGGGAACTCCAGGGAAGAGACGTGATTTATAATTTTCATAGTGTCGTGAAAACAGCTACTGAGTTTGTTAGTCTCTCTGGATCTGAACAGCTGCAGATTCTCTTTCTTTTCATGTCATTTTGCCTAGTCTGGGAACTGGGCACTGATAAGGCACTACAGAGGAGTTACAGAGGAGTGTGTGTAACTTTCCCATTTCAATACAGCAAACCAATTTTCATTTTCTTTTTCCCCCTAATCTGTTCATCATAGATGGAGATTACTGAAAAGCAAAGTAAGCCCAAATCTCAGATCTCGTTATTTGTATAAACATTTTCTTTCCAAAACTTTAAAAGGAAGTTTGCAGTGAATTGTTGCTTAGTATTAAAGACCTATAGTAACATCTTCAAATCAGCATGAAAACTAGAACAGAACATTAAAGACCACATAGCTTCACACCATCAGATTTACAGTTTTCTCCTTCCAGCATACCCCTTTCTTCTCTTCCTCTTTTAACTGTGATCGACTGTTAACACATTACAGGTTGAAAACAGATTTTTTTTTTCTGGTTATTTTTTTCTTACTGAGATCCTGGAACGACTTTCACATTCAATCATCCAAACCTCACCAAAGACAGTGAGAATTGCGTGAGTTCTATGAGCACAGGATTGGAAACTGTGTCATCAGTCAGCTTCATGAAAATCAGTAGAGTTAATCCTTGTTTAGCAGACTGCACTGGTTTATTTACATTGAGAGGCATTCACATTTTTGGTACAGCAGGAGCCAATACCACACTACAGCATCTGAAAGCTCGTGCTCAAGTGGGGTCTTCAGACTGCAGACAGTGGGTACCACCCACTCTCAAAGTCTGTTCCTGGGGCGAGCAGCCAGCCAGAGCACTTCCCCACTCCAAAGAGCAGCTCACCAGGCTGTTGAGCATCACCCAGGACATATCTGGAAAAGTACTATTACCTGGTTTGATTAGTGACAACAAAAAAAAAAAGAGAAAGTGGACACTGCATATCTTTTCCCATCTGTCAAAGTCTGAAGGTACATTCTGTTTACATTGCCTGCTTCTCCAGAATTTCACTTTATAGATAGGCTTGCAAAGCATTTTGAAAGCAAAACAAACACTTCTTTCATTTTGCTTTGGCTGCACTCAAGGTGCTCTTACTTTATTGCCAAGTATGTAATTTGTGTATATGTGTGCATGTGGATTATAACTTACTGTAGGATCTTTGCCAGCCATTTTGCACTCTTCAACCTTGTTTGCTGATGCTGGCCAGGAAATCTGTAAGGAAAGAAGTATCATTCAAGTAGCATATTTTTCACATAATTTAAACAAAACATTTCACCGCCTAACTTACACTAATACTTTAATACTTTGATATCTTACACTTTCATTATAAGGAAAAAAAAGAATTTTCATTGATACATGAAAATATTTTTGTCTTAGCACGTAGTAAACAAAATAAAGGTCCAGGTCTTTGGCTCTAAGTTTATTACATAATTTCAAGGTAAGTTAATCAATTTATTTAGATTTTTTTCTTCTAAATAAGAGAGATTTTTCACTTTTATTGCCTAAATTAGTATCTTTACTTTTTTTACTTTTACTGAACTTTCAGAAATTATGCACACTAGAAACCAGAAGGCTAAAACAGTGCAACAAGGGTTCTTGTAACAATTTTTTTATTTTAACATCAAAAGTTTGGACAGATTATGATATAACCTGCTTGAAATCTCAGGATTTCAGCCTGATTTTGTTCACACAGTTTTCCAACAAACATCTCAAAGTCTGAATGTTTATCTGTTCTATAATCAAACTCTAAATATTTTGAGCTTCTTCCATTATTTATTTTGATTTTGAAATAGAAAAGACATCCATTAGAAATTTATCCCTAGAAATCTAGTAAGTGACAGAGCCTGATAACACTTAGCCTCAAGGTAACATAAACAATAGCATTAAAAGATCTCTGTTTATGTACATATATACATACATATGTAGAATTGTGGATTTGAATGCACATATGTACAGGATTTCAATAGAGGTATAAGATCAGCAAAGTGAATCTGCCGTAAAAATAAATAAACTACCAGAAGACTGTGTGGAATTGCAGATATTCATTCTGAGCCTAATACTGGGTGAACACATTCACTGCCAGAAAACTTTGTGTGTTTTTCCTTTCTGTTGACTTTTTTTATTTGTGTTTTTCCAGGCTGTTGAAATGCCTCACAGCTTTATACTGCAGAAAATATTTCATGCAACGAGGCCTTCCTATCAGAATTAAACTGGACCTGCCACAGGCGGGAGAGAGTGTGTCATGTGGGGGCACAGATCCTCCCAAACAGGGGTGGCTGGATCACTGGGGAGATGGAACTTAGCAAAAAAGGTCACAGAAGCTATTTCAGATCAGAGAAGGCAGCCCTGTTTCAGAAGGAGATTTTGGTACCACTAGAAGGAGGGAAGGATGCATTCACACCATTGAACGAGAGGCATTTAATTTAAATGTGTAAGTTAGAGTGAGCCTCCCTGGGCTCCCTGCACAATCAATTCAGGTAGACAGGCACGTCCAGAGGGTGATTCAGAGCAAAGCCTAATTTAACTGTGCTCCATCACTCTCTGGCAGGGACCCTCTCTCTCCCCTGACACATTAAAAGCCTTGTCTCTCAAGGAAAGCATTTATCTTCCCTGCTGCAAGCTGGGTATCGCTGCTCCTCAGTCCTTCTGAGGTACAGTAATAAAGCCCATAGATTAAAGGATTGGATGGATTTGGTGGAACAAGGCCTTTATGGTACTTTTTAAGGCAGTGTAGTAGCTCTGGTAGTCTAAAGATAGGCAAGACTAAGTCTGTAGAGAGGTAACAGCTTAACAGTCAAGCTTCTGGGCACACAAGTACTTCTGCAGGTCACCTATTTCAAAAGCAGAAAAAACCCCAAATGAGGTGTCTCAGCTACCCAACTGAAGGGCAAGGGCTGACAACAGACATAACAAGAGACTGGAAAATAGTTCAGCGATTAGGCTCCAGAGTACAAAACAAAAATAAATGTAGTTGAAGATTAAAGGCAACTCTGTCCTTGTCTTTTTCCCTATGGCCTGAGAACGACAGCATGTACCTTATTCTTACTTACAGGCTCCTTTTAACAGTGCATCTCTGAACTATCTTATCTTATCCTGGAGAGGAGTGGAAAGATCAAACCATACAAATTTTCCTTATGAGACCAGGCCAAGCTGAATGTTGCTTCAAAAGTAGTAAACAGGTCAGTTTTAAACAGTGTTCAAGGAACAGCTTCATCTGTGTTACACGTGAAACAAAGACTAACAGTTCAATAAGGTGTGGGCCTGGACTTTCATGTAAAATAATGAAATACATATTTTTTTGTCTTAAAAACAAAGGCATGTCATAAAGCAACCTCAGATTCTCAAAACAAAACTCGAACTTACACTGAGAGGGTCCTGGCTTATATTGTTAATATTCAAAGACAGAATATGATCTTTACTGCCCACGTAGATCCGATCCTGATCTTCATCCATTAATAATATCCGGTAATCCAGGGGACTGTGGGATATTCTGTGATATTCAGAGGTTTTAGTTTCTTGCAGTTCTGAAATAGTAAAGACAGTTACTTAACCAAGAGATTCAGTCGCCTTTCTTGCATCTGAACTGCATTTCTTTTTAAATAAACATATCTTTGGACATAAATGGGGACAGTAAGAGAAGAAAAACCCTCATTAGACACTACCTAGTAATATAATGGTTGAGTTAAAACAAATTTTTTTCCCAATTTGAATATAATTCTTTTGTACATTAAGTAGATAGACATAGCTCATAAAAATCAGGCAATGCTATTATTCATTCGTCTAATTAATTCTTATTTTAATGGATATAATTATTTACAGCTTTGACTTTTAAGGAAGATAACTTATTAAATTAATAATCAATGTGTTCAATACATTTTGAAGTTTATGACTGCAGAAAATCCACAAGATCAACAAAAACCATGCAAGAACAGTTTACTTTCTTTTCCTTACAGGGGGTTTCATTAAGAATAGGTTTTTATCATTTTCGAGGTCAAAGTTTATTTGGTTCATCATCATGCATGGCTTACTTAAAAATAAAACAAAACTATTCAGTCAAGCCTAAATGTGTCCATTTATTCAGTTGTTTGTTTATGGGCTTTGGACCAAACTACCAGAACTACAGAACTAGCTCTACTTTTCAACATAAAACTTTCTTCAATAAAGTGAAGTGAAAACATCCTTTGATCTTAGTAGTGCAGGATCAGGCCTGTTACAGGAATAGCGTAAGCATCTGCAAAATAAGTATTACTTGCTGCCCTCAAGAAAGCTCAGCCTTCCTGTCTTTGCTTGGCCAATATATTTTGGCCCCACTCAGATTGTTTTACTTTTCAGTAATAACAGAAGGGATATTTCTCAAGAGCTGAGAATGGAAAAATAAAACCTTAATAATCGATTTGCCTTTATTAAAATATTTAACATATAATTATACTTTCTTACTTCATGAACATTAGCATTGAATTGTGTTCCCTGTGACACTAAAAGGGTGGCAAATACACAGTACATATGAAAACAAAGTTCTGGTATAATGTTTAGTCATAAATCTAAGAACTGAGTCCACAGTTCTTAGTTGCCAACTTTATCTGGGACAATATGGCTTGTCACTGTTCCTAAAGCTTAGGATTTTTAAAAGCAACATTTTTGCTCATTCGTTACCTAGAGAAAACAGTAGATGTCATATACAAAATTAGTCATCTAAAACTACTGCCATTTTGGAAAACCAAACTCTCAAAACAAATATTTCTGGATATGTGCTCTGTTTAAAAAACAAAAAAGTGTGCTAAAAAATGTGTTCCTAAGTATGCAGCTTCTGTAAAATCATATTTAGCTGAAAGCATAATTTTTTTCTTTGAAAATTATTTGGAGAGCAATTTTTAAAAGGCAAAGCCTGAAGTCCTCGGATTCTATCAGATATCTGAAAATTGAAAGAATATTTGTCAGAATATAATTTGCATTGATAAATATGATACATAGCTCCATTTAATTTTTATCATGATTGCTAAACAGTTTCATAGAAAGATGAAAAATATCCTCAGCTACTGAAAGGTGTGCAACAGCTTTCAGGAGCTGAATTGCCTACATGCATTTTTTTATGGTAATATTAAAAAAATACAAATAATATTTCTATTTCATATGTCCCTTGACAAAAGATAAACATACAATCAAGATTTACAATCTGTGCCTAAAAGCTTAAACTGAAACACTACTTGTTAAATATACATGAAAATTGTCCACAGTACTTTCAGAAGTCGTTCTTCAGTGCTTGAAAAATCAATTCTTTTATTTAATTTAAAAAAATCCTCCTTGTAAGCTTTTAGCTAGGATTTTCAAAGGCACCTGGGAGACTCACCAGCATAGTGCCATTAACACACAGTACGTTTGCCTGCTCTGAAATTCTAAGACTGACCTTTTACAACCAGCCTGAGAAGTCAGTGTTCATCCCTTTTCCTGGTGGTATTATTAACCTTACCACAACATTTGGCAGCTGTAAGGTGAAACTGAAGCTTCTCATAACCGCACATTTGATATTCTAGGAAAGCACAGATAAACTGGGAGAGTTTCCTGCCCAGCATAGGGTAGATGTGAGCACAATGATTGCACAAAATAATGTCCCTCCTTATCGCTTCAGTGACTGACAGGGGTGGACAGTGAAAACACTGTGATTGACATAAAAGATAACCATAATCATGACAATTGTTTTTAAGCAAGAGACAAAAACAGTGATAGATACTGGATTTCCATGACTTTCTCTTATTAAAATCCATTATTTTCTTCAAATTGTAACCTCTTTGTAATGGTATTATTTTTTTTAATGTTCCAGATGGGTAATCTGTCTCCATCAAGCTGCTGATAAGCAGAACACCTTATTACACATTACTAGACTATGGAAACTCAATGCCATTCATAAGAGGAAGGAAAGTCATGAAAAAAATACTTTCATACAGATTTATTAGTTTTATTTCTTTTAGTGCTGAAGCTTACAGTTTATTAGACTCTTTGGGCTACTCAAGCAAGTGATGAGGGAATTTATAACTAATCAAATTTTCTTTTCATGTAACAAAATTTGCCACACAATCACCCAAGAAAATTTGATTTTGTAAAGATTTACTATCTGTGTGTTATTACTTGGAAAAAGCGGTGGGTGGAAAGATGCTGTATAGACTTCCACGTTCCATTCATCTCCAAGTTTTTACTAAAAAATCAAGTAAACATTTACTGACATTCAGAACAAATTCTATTCCATACTTTGGGAATTAAACCAAATGCTGAAAGCAGTAAACCCTATATGGAGAATGATGAATATTAAGAATTTTGTTTGACAGTAAAACAATATGCAAGTAACTTTCATCCTTAATGACAGAAGAATAATCTTTGCTCATCATTTTTTTCATTAGTCATTGAATTTAGTTTTGCCTTTCCTCAGGGATAAAACCAAAACCAATCTGATCCCTAGTGTAAGAAATCTGATCTTAGAGGACAGGGTATTTTAATGAAAAGATAAAAGCCTGAGTGAATTCTCTTTACAGAACCATGTGGATTATTGAACTGCACATTTTGGAGATCCTATTGACTGGGAGTTTTCTCTGTACACAGTGGACAGCTCACTGAAAATTAGACAGTTTAACACCTACTTTAATTATCCTACTAATTCACCACAAAAAAAGCTAATGCAAGTATTGTTTTTAAAAAGTTATGTTCTCCCAGAAGAAATAAAAAAATATTTCTGCAATATCTATTATTGACATCACAAAAGCCTTTGTAACACAAAACTCAATATGTTGGCCAGAACAAAACAAATTACACTTATTAGAGACTGGGAATCCAGGAAGGTGTAGTTATATCATACGTCCTATTATACCCAAATTGTCCAACCTGCATAAAGACATTTGAGCTAGATCCACTCATCAGGTAGTCCTCCAAATATCTTATTTAATGACTCAACATCAATCTTTCATCACTCCTTAATTCAAATTCACTGGTATCACAATGTTGAAAACAGCATGACTCTCCTAGCCTAAGGAATATAATAATACCTAAGATGTAAGATAAAACCCTAATATAAGTGACTTCTCTGGTAGACATCTTATACTAATAAGGATGTTTGATGCACACGCTACTGAAATTTATGCATTTTTTAGCAGAAGCTTCCCAAAACATGATTATTTCTTATTTGCAGACTCACATAACCACTTACTACTGAAAGGTTCAACATAACCAAGAATTATCTTTACCTTGCAGGGTTTCATAAGCTACAGCCTTGGTATGCAAGCATCCCCAGCCCAAGTTCAAAGCAATGAGTTTATCCACTGATAAACTGTGGATAAACTGACACGTGAGAGACTGGACGCAGTCATGCCTGCACTATGCCATCTTTGCATTTCCAGCAAGGCTATTTTGAGAAAATCCAGGATCCTCTGTGCTAAAGTACAAGAAATAATATGCTTTCCTCCTCTGTCCTGCTGGCATAAGGATTCAGACTCAGAAGGCTGTTTATGGGGAAGCTCAGAGAAGAAGCAGAGATTTGGTGCATGCGCCTCTAAACCAATCAGGGAGTAAAGCACAGCAATCCCTTCACACGCAGCACCACAGTGAAGGGCATTAACACAGTTTTCTAGGAAGATGGGCTACTTCTCCCCAGGGAACCTCTGCTGCCCAAACTGGCATGGATTTTATGGAGCCTTAGTGATTTGGAAGTCAGTAGTACAACAAATGCTCTTTTATTTTACGTTCTCATGGGGCCTTGGGTGCACAAATGACACACCTTATGTACATCCAGCAGTAGGTTCAACAACATTAGCATCCAGTTATGGAAGTTGTAAGACTCTCTCAAGCCTCATTAAGCCTTGAGTTTGTGCCAACAAACATGCCAGTCTGAGCCAAATGTGAAATGCAATGTAAAATCTCACCTTCTAGGAACTGGAATGAAAACTCAATTTTATTTTTCTTTCTTTTTCTTTTTTTTTTCTCCTAGAAAGAAATATTTAGGTAGAACAATGTTTTTGCTTATAGCATCAGATGGAAATGGCCCCCTTTTACTCATAGGTCACGTTTAAACAGGCAAAAAAGTAATTTGGTCATATAAACTTAGACAGTGTACATAGCATTGCTAGCGATGAATGAAAAGTGTGAGTGGAATCTGAGGTATCTGCAAAGTTATCAAAAATAATTAAAAAAAATACTTCAGCTGAAAGAAAAGGTCTGGGTTTTTTTCAGTTTAAATATTTTCTTTTCTACTTTGTATTGATTAACTTCCCTGTTTTGCAACTTATTAGTAAAAACGACTGGAAAAGATCTAGTTAAAAGGCATCAGATTTCATAAGAACCTGATTTTAATTATTGTTTTCTTGCCCTTACTTCTAATTTTTCAGTAAAAAGACAATGAAGAAATAAATGTATTATTTTTTTTTTAGTTTACACAGTGCTTGTGGAAACAGTGTGCTGTTTATAACATTGCTTTCCAAGTCTGAGGATACAATAGGCATATTTTTGAATTTTATGTATGTAAAGAGAACAAGTAAAGTCTGAG